GGATGATTTTTGCTTTCTAACAGGCCAATTTGCAGGTCTTCGACGTATGAATCAATGTTAGTCATGGTTGAGTTCACATGTTGAACTTGATCATATATCACTAAACAACTATAGAAAGAGCTTGTAGCAGAATGGGACTCTCAGGGATTTCGGCTAGGTGGAATTCGGCTGGAACCCAGCCAACAACGTACCAGTCACGTTTAATTAACTTCATTTGCAATTAAGAAAGTACATCGGCAAGATTACGACCCTGAAATGAGTCCACTATTCACCTACCGGAATAAACCTAACACAGTCATCAGCTTCGAGCCCAAGGGATAAATGATATTATATAACATACCTGAGCAGGTACCGGGTGGCACAGGTCTACTGCCGTGATCACCAGAAAGTTAGGGTGCAAAATTGAATGTACACTGTACTGCTAATAATACTATAGGTACTGCCGCACAAGCAAGCAGGAAGCAGAAACAGAAAGAACAACCGCGTGGGCGCTATCTTATCCCCACACCGGTAGGTACTTACAGGTAGGTAACCTGCACAACCCACCTGTCCTCTCAGTGTACCATGGGATGCCTCAACACCTTAGGAATATATCGCCACAAGCTTATTCTATTACGATCCTCGAATATCTCTTAGCATGCATATGCATCTTATTTTCTGACATCAGTAACTTACCTAACTAATTTGAGGTTATTAATATGTGTGACATGGAACCCCAAAAAAAAAGACGTTTTGGAAGCGTTTATCAGTCTGGTTCAAAATTCGGCAATTCTTTACCTAATTAGGTGTACACACTTTCAAAGTCAGAAATATACGAAATCACTTGTAATAATTGTGATTACACATACAGGCTGATTCACGGTGGATGGCACATTAGACGTTTCTGGTGAACCAGACAACGGATCATTTTGAAAATTTAATGAAGGGCATATTCGGACATTCTCTAGCCAACTAAAATATTTTCGACAATGCGGTGTTGCCGCTTCTATTAGAAAGCAGTAGCAACTTTGATTTTTCAAATAGTATATAATATTATTTTTGGAATCTCCAACAATTGCCCGACAACTTTTCTTGATATTTCCCTATACCTATCTGTTACCGTTTTCGAAATAAAAATTAATTTCAATTTTTTTCTTCGAAAATCATGACTTCTAAAAATGCCGATATCTTTTAGTTAAGAAGTACTTTGATATCAAAATTTGGTTTGGAGTTAGGCGATACTTGGACACTTCCCACACGTCAGCCTAATCTTCGTTACTTCAATACAGGGTGGTAAAAAAATACAGTTTTTCCGTTTGCTTGAAAAAGTTGCTGAAATTTGATTATTTTAATTGGTACACCCTGTATATCATCGAGAATTCGGAAAGCTACTGAAATTTGCTTTCTATCTATATATATTATACCTATACCTAACTAGTCAAGTTTCGGACTTATGAGCATTTATTTGTGAAAATGTCCCTTCAGAATGGTATTTCCATTCGGTATTTGGTAAGCAGGCCATGATTACTATTTGACAGTAGCGTTGTGACATTCTCCTAATAATATCGATATTTTCGTCACTTCAGAAGATGCAAATACCTTCAAAACGATGGAACAAAACTATTCAAACGAAGTTCTTATGAATTTGTTTATTATTTTTGGATAGTGTGATAAAATTATCAGCAGAACATGTGGAAAGTTCAATGAAATGTACCCGAATCTACCGCCAATAAACCTCAAGAAATTTATACGAATTCAGAACAATTTCAATATGTTTGGATAAACTTTAAAAAAGCACCAAGAAACTTGAAATTGGAAATATTGATATGAATAATTATAAAAGAGTAAAACAATCATGTGGAATATTTCAAAATATGTTCGAATCGCTGGCCGTTCACCTCCAAGCACTTTAAAATGCGGGTGTTGACTGCTTTCGTGGTGGCAGATCTGATTTCATTGGGATACAAATCTTCAAATGTTTGGGCAATCCTTTCTAACAATTCATCTCTCGAACGCACGGGTATTTTGTAATCTTTTTCTTCAAACATTCCCCACAAATAAAAATCTAATGGATTAAGATCGGGTGATCTCGCTGGCCAATTCCATGGTCCCAAACGCCTTATCCACCGATTTTCAAAAAGTCTTACCAGTTCTGCGCTCACTTCTCTTGTGCAATGTGCAGGAGCTCCGTCTAGTTGGTACCAACAGTTTCGATATTCTTCGAGTGGCAGATTATCCATGAAACTCTCTACAGAGTATTCTCCAAAATATTCAGGTAGCTTCTGGATGTTAATGACTCCTCGTATATCACGTACCTCAATTTGTTGTCCATCAACATGCAGAAGACATTAAAACTAAATTTTTCTTGGAATCCGGCTTCTTTTGTGACGTGAGGATTTTCACTGGACCAATAATGACGATTTTTTCTATAGAAAATCCCTTCTCTCGAAAGTTTTGATTCATCAGTCCAAATAATTTTATTTAAAAAAAGTGGATCTTCTTGAATGCGTGTCAACAACATTTCACAAAATTCTACTCTTTGTTGAGGGTCTTGAGGCTTCATTGCTCGAATATTCTTCAGCACTTCTTAACGATGACTCGGGAAATGCGTGAAAATATGCTAAGACAATAATCTGGTTGTCTTCAGAAGTTACGGGTCGAGGCAAGTTTCATGGTGCTTTTAAAGTTGATTCAAATGCATTGAAATTGTTCTGAATTCGTATAAATTTCTTGAGGTTCATTGGCGGTAGATTCGGATACATTTCATTGAACTTTCCACATGTTCTGCTGATAATTTTATCACACTGTCCAAAAATAATAAACAAATTCATAAGAACTTCGTTTGAATAGTTTTGTTCCATCGTTTTGAAGGTATTTGCATCTTCTGAAGTGACGAAAATATCGATATTATTAGGAGAATGTCACAACGCTACTGTCAAATAGTAACCATGGCCTGCTTACCAAAGACCGAATGGAAATACCATTCTGAAGGGACATTTTCACAAATAAATGCTCATAAGTCCGAAACTTGACTAGTTAGGTATAGGTATAATATACATAGAAAGAAAGCAAATTTCAGCAGCTTCTCGAATTTTCAATAATATACAGGGTGTACCATTTAAAATAATCAAATTTCAGCAACTTTTTCAAGCAAACGAAAAAACTGTATTTTTTTACCACCCTGTATTGAAGTAACGGAGATTAGGCTGACGTGTGGGAAGTGTCCGAGTATCACCTAACTCCAAACCAAATTTCGATATCATAGTATACTTCTTAACTAAAAGATATCGGCATTTTTAGAAGTCATGATTTTCGAAAACGGTAACAGATAGGTATAAGGAAATATCAAGAAAAGTTGTCGGGAAATTGTTGGAGATTCTAAAAATAATATTATATACAGAGTGTTCCATTTGAAAAATCAAAGTTGCTACTGCTTTCTAATAGAAACGGCAACACCGCATTGTCGAGAATATTTTAGTTGGCTAGAGAATGTCCGAATATGCCCTCCATTGAATTTCCAAAGTGATCCGTTGTCTGGTTCACCAGAAACGTCTAATGTACCATCCACCGTGAATCAGCCTGTATATTAGCCAAACCAGGCGTTCTATGGAAATAGGTTTCAAAAAACACTTAGCACATTTGGAATATGGTAGGTTAGATAAATGAAAATAGTGTAGCCGAACACATGATTGTGATCAATCATAACACACATATTGATCACCCCAAATCAGGCAAGCATTATAATAATTCCAAGATTTTAGATTCATATGAAAGCTTGAAGATATTTACGAATAGTTATATAATAATGAATAAGGATGATGGATCTATCTCATTCAGCCCTATGTGATATGAGACCAAGTTTAACATTTAAACTCAACCATGACTAACATCAGCATTGCGGTTGGGTAGACATATACCTAGTATATAAGTAGCACCCTAGGATAGAACATTTAGCTGTAATTTTGTCCTGAAGATACTAACATAGTGAGCGAAACACGTGTCCAGGCGTAAAAAAATCGGTTTGAGTAGTAGCAAAACAGTGTGTAGTGAATAATATTGAGAATTGATCAAATGGTGCTTGTACTATGACCTCACTGAGGATGATTACAATGGTGTTCGGAATTCTTGTTATCATCCTCAAATTGTGTGAGTTCCATCTGATCAATTCTTGATATCATTGTCAATGTACTAATTTCAATTTCTATTATGGTGCCCTGCTGATCCAAATATACATTTCCGAAAGCTCGGACAAACTGTGATGAGTTCAGCTCCACTTCGCTGAGATACCCACAAGCATGCTAGTTGTATCTCTAACGTGTCAGCAATGACTCTTCTTCCTTTTAAATATATATATATATAGATATATGTATAGATTATTAGGAATAGCCGCATAGACCTCAGAAAGAGTTGACTGCTGACTCGTGTTTCGGGCTTTCGGACCTCATTAGTACGGTGAAAAAAGTGCAACACTTAGTGAAAGATCAAACAGCGAATCGACGGAGTCATCAAATGAAAGCCAGCCGCACAATTGTGGTTTCGGTCAGAGGATCCTGCATTTTCAAAGCTAAAACTAACGTGTTCTGGCTGAAATCACAATTGTACGGCTGGATTATCTTATGCATTTTTCTCACCGTACTGATGAGGGCTGAAAGTCCAAAACTGTCTGCGTTTAACTCTCTCTAATAATAATCTCCTACTCATTTGCCTGAAACAGTTCCCTAAATATTTCTTTCATCTTATTTTCACTTTTGGAGTCAGACGTCATGCAGGTAGTTATAGCTGCCTCCGTGGTGACGTTAGTTGTAGCGTTGAAAATGCAGGGTCTTTTGATCAAAACCACAATTATGCGGCTGGCTCGTGTTCGTTGAGTCTGTCGATTTGTTATTTGGTCTTTCACCAAGTGTTGCCTATTTTTCGCACTTTTTTTCATCGTGCTGATAAGGGCCTTAAGCTTGAAACACGTGTCTACGGTTAACTCTTTCTGAGGGCTATCTCCAATAATCTTTTTCTATATTTTTCAGTATCACTACTCTCTGCGAACGAAATATACCCGGAAGATGAGAAGAAGAAAGAGACTAACCTCCCTCCTGTGGATAGATACAACCTCCTACATGTGATATTTTTCGTCTTGTCCTTTGGATCTCTCATACCGATGTCGTTTTTCCTAACTGCAAATGACGTGAGTACAAAACTAAGACAAAACTGTTGTTCGCTGAATGCAATCCACTCATTTCATCAAATTCCTACATTGTTTCATGATATTTCTTCAATTCTACTCAACTTTTTGAGTCCAGAGGGTGGTAATGTATGATCCTCTGAGAAGTTTTGTTGAAATTGGAATCCATTCAGTAGAGAGCAGACAGACAACTCCGCCATTCTCAAACTTGGTCATTGGATACAAGAGATCTAATATAGCATCAATGATGGCCAGTATAATCATCGAAACATCACTGTTTGCTCTCGAAGTGACTCGTGAGACTGCGTACATAAAATATAATAGTATATGTATGATAAATAAATCAACAAGGCATCATTGATGAAAATTGCAGTTTTGCAACATGATGAACAATACAATATATTGTCTTCCAGGAAGTTGTCTACGTATGGAAATAATTTTCGATAATAATTCATCTAGGAATCCGACCCAAAACTTGAGTTTTGCTTCGAAAAAATCAGGGTCACGGGCCTCTCGATATCGAACATTACATTGTTTTCAGTTTGATGTTATGTGGTTCGAACTGGATAGGTAGGAGCAGACCAAATATCTTCATTATCCCCACTTATCATCGAATGATCCATCCTGTTGAGTGCTCTTTCAGTTCTTGTTCCTGAAGCTTGACCTTTCATTCAGCAGCACCATCCAGCAGCGAAAATCACCATCATCAGTGTACATAACACTGCTTGGCTCGTCCACCCCATCAAAACGAACGAAGCTGGGCAACAAGCTGGAGCTGGAGTTTTCACTCACGGCTGAGAGCAGCTTATTGAGTAATCCACATGAATTCCCGTTGTCAATGACCATTCTGCCAACTCACATGACTCATTCCTCATTAATAATCCAGCACCTTACACCATTGATGGACATGCTTCACTTGATGATTCACATGATACACTCATATCCATAACCTGCCGATTTTTTATTCCAACAACTGTACCAGCACCCCCTCCCCCCATGACTTGTATGACACTATAAGTCAGGAGACTGTAACGGTCTCCACAAGTTGTTTCCGACTTTCCTTGGCATAGAATATGCTCCGATTTTTTGGATCCTGCACAGTATGTTGCGTATATATCCGAGATTGTCACGCTTGGGATGGACACATACGTACCTCATTCTCCGGAGAGTTCATCACCTTCGAAACTCTGGTTCAACAAGAACTGTTCTAGAGCTGTTAACTTCAAACAAACAGGCGTTTTGGTCTTCGCATGTGTTTTAGAGTTTTCTCGGCATAGAATATGCTTGGATTTCGTGAATACTTCACAGTATGTTGCCGAAATATTCGAAATCATCACGCTTGGAATCTACACATACATACCTTCCCTGCCAAAAATGTCTCATAGAAACTTATAAAAAAATATATATGAGAATATATGAGAATGAAGTTGGATAGTGAAACAGTAATTCCGTATAATCCTATGTATTTTGCAGATACATATATAATCAGTTTCTAATGGCGATTCTCTCCCTTTCTCTTATAAGTATGAACTGTGTTTCGCAGATATATTCATAATCAGTTCCTAATGGTAATTCCTTATTATTTACATATGAGAATATATCAGAGTCAAGTTGGATAGTGAAACAGTGATTTATAAGCTCGAAATGTATTCTGCAGTTACATTTATGATCAGTTCCTAATGGCAATCGTCAATGGAGTCGATGAGTTTGAACTGTAATTCACAAATACATTCATAATCGGCCCTGAATGGCAATTCCATATTAAAACATCGTAATTCATGATTTTGAGATGTGTTCTGCAGGTACATTCATGACAGGTTCCTAATAGCAATTTCCAACGAAGTCTTTGAGTATGAACTATGTTTCACAGATACATTCATAATCAGATTCTGATGGCAATTCCTCATTGAAACATTGTGGCATTCATGAGAATGGAATGTGTTCTGCATATACATTCATGATGAGTTTCTAATAGCAATTTCTTTCAAACTCTATGAGAATGGGCTCTGTTTTGCAGATACATTTGAAATCAGTCCCTAATTGCAATTTCTTATTGAATCAACGTGGCATTCATGAGTTTGAAATGTGTATTGCGGATACATTCATAATGAGTCCCTCATAGCAATCATCATCAGTTCCTAATTGGAATTCCCCATTGGAACACCGTAGCATTTATCAGTTCGAAATGTGTTTGACAGGTACATTCATGATGAGTTTCTGAATGAACTCTATTAGTATGAACTCTGTCTTGCAGAAACATCCATAATCAATTCCTAATCGGAATTCCTCATTGGAGCACAGTGGCATTTATGAGTTTGAAATGTATCCTGCTGGTACATTCATAATCAATACCTAATAGCAATTCCTCAGGAACACTTAGAGTAAAACTCTGTTTTGCAGATACACTTATCATCAGTTCCTGATTGGAATTCCTCATTGAATCACCGTGGCATATATCAGTTTGAGATGTGTTTCACAGGAACATTCATAATGAGTTTCTATTGGCAGTTCTTCACGTACTCTATGAGTATAATCTGTGTTTCACAGATACATTTATAATCAGTTCCTAATAGCAATTTCTTTCGAAGTGTATTATTTTAAACTCTGTTTTGCAGATACAATAATTATAATAAGTCCCTAATCGGGATTTTCTTTAATATCTTGGCATTTATGAGTTCAAAGTGTGTATAAACTCTGCATATACATTCATAATCAGTTACTAATCGGAATTCATAACTGAAATACCATGGTATTCACGAGTTTGAAATGTGTATCGTGGATACATGCATTCATAATGAGTTCATCATAGCAATTCCATATGAACTCTGATTTGCAGATAGATTTATGATGACTTCCTAATCAGCACGCCTTATTGGAATACAGTGGCATTTATGAGTTTGGAATGTGTATTGCAGATACTTTCATAATCAGTTCCTCATAGAAATTCCCCATTGAAACACCGTAGCATTTTTCTTCAGTTTGAAATGTGCTTTACAGGTACATTCATAATGAGTTTTCATTGGCAGTTCTTCATGTACTCTATGAGTATAATCTGTGCTTTCCAGATACATTCATATTCAGTAACTCATAACACTTTCTTCCGAAGTCTAGCAATTTCTTCCGAAGTGTATGACTATAAACTCTGTTTTGCAGATACAATGATCATAATCAGTCCCTCATCGGAATTTCCTATTAGAATATCGTGGCATTTATGAGTTCGAAGCGTGTTTTGAAGAAACATTCATAGAGAGTTCATTATAGCAAAGCCATATTATATCTACGCGTATGAATTCTGTTTTGCAGATACATTCATAATCAGTCACAAATCGGGATTTATTACTAAAATACCGTGGTATTTATGAGTTTAAAATGTGTATTGTAGATGCATGCATTCATAATGAGTTCATCCTAGCAATTCCATATGAACTCTGAGTTGCAGTTAGATTTATAATCAGCTCCTGATCAGAACTCTTCATTGGAATGCAGTGGCATTTATGAGTTTTAAATGTTTATTGCAGATACTTTCATAATCAGTTGCTCATAGAAATTCCATATTAACTCTATGAGTATGAACTGTGTTCTGCAGATACATTTATAATCAGTTCCTGATCAGAGTTTCTCATTGTACTACAGTGGCATTCATGAGTTTGAAATATGTTCTGCAGGTACATTCATGATCAATTCCTGATAGCAATTTCTCACGAATACTATAAGTATAACTCTGTTTTGCATATACACTTATCATCAGTTCCTAATTGGAAGTCCTAATTGAAACAGCGTGACATTGATCAGTTTGAAATGAGTCTATTCCGAGGTCTATTCATAAAGAGTTTCTATTGACAGTTCTTCAGTATTTTGTATTGAACCCCTGCTTATTTTTTTATGTATTATTCGATTTTTTTTCCAAGAACGATCTTTCATATTTTTTCTGTATATACCGACAAAAAAACAGTTGAACTTTAAAAAAATAGTTAGTTTTTCTATTGGCATATATAAAATTCAGAGGAAGAGTATTAAAGAGAGTTTCTTGAAAAAAAAATTGACAATACATGAAAAAGTTGAGTAGGGGTTCAAAATATTCGTGAATACCCTGTACAGGCTGTCCCATTTTCGATGTTCTAATAGGATAGATATCTCGTTTATCTTCTGAAATAGCGATTTTTCATTTTCGCAAACGTGGGCTTCTTTTTAGTGAAACTCACGATACCCTAAATCAAGTTTTTCTAGCCCGCTGCCTTCTTGAGATACAGGGCGAAATTGAAAATGTTGCATTTCAGGACCCTTCTTGTATCTCAACAATCTTCCAATTTATCGAAAAAGTCGAAATTTGTTTGTCATACATTTTTTCAAGTAGAATCCAGTGGCGTAGTCAGATCTTCAGAATAAGCTGTTATTATTCAGATATAATCCAAAGTTATGTTTTTTCAAATGGAACATCACGTATATTTTTCCTCATTTGAAACATTGATGCTTTTTGCTTTTCAAAATTATACAACACATGAGATATTAGTCTAGCCCAAAATTCTGATGAATTCTAGTTTCTCAGTAGACTTTTCATCGATTGAACTTGTAAATATCTGGCAACATTGTCCATATTATGAATTTTCATATTTGCCTTGTTGCTAATACAGTGTTTCGTCCACAATAGTTTCAATTTTTACCAACATTGAACATTCACCAATATTCAGCAGTATTCATAGAATATAAAAGCTGTGGACCTAATTAGTAGGTGGCTATGAGAAAAAAGCGAGTGCAGAATGTTTTATAATATTTGTCACATACCTGTAGAATTTACAATTTGTTTATACAGCGACGAATAATAATCCAGGATATCAGAACTACAAAAATTTGAAACCAACTTATTTTATATCACAACCATTTCTAATTTTCGTATCGTGGATTAGTATTCGCTATCGTATGGAAAATTTGTAAATTCGACAGGGAGGTGGCAAGGATTTAAAAACATTTTACACTTGCTTTGTTTTCATAGCCACCTGCTAATG